GTGTGTGTGTGTGTGTGTGTGTGTGTGTGTGTGTGTGTGTGTGTGTGTGTCTAAGGAATGTCTATTAGCAAAATAATTCAGGGATGTCATCTGTGCTAAATATCCATAAGCTCTTATTTGGTAGACACAATTTCTCTTCTGATAAGCAAACTTCAAAAAAAGCCAATACTGATGTTAACTATCATGTCAAAATTAATTTCTCATGTAGACAAACCACTCTCAAGATCAACTGTCCATAAAGGAATTCAGACATTTATAGCTTTAAGGGTATTAATCATGATGCTGATGAGAGAACTAATGAATATTCATGGTTTTCTTGGCACTCAACTAATATTGCCTTCCATTCAAATGGATTTGAGTGCAATTTTATGACCCAAAAGTCACATTAAGACACTTCAGAATTATCAGGTACTCTGAAAACATTTGTTCTCTCTGGGATTTAAGAATTAGGTCTTTCAAATAAAGCAAAATATTTTTCCAAATGACTCTGGGGAACCAGTCCAAGAGCTGGAAAGCCTAACCCAGGTCATATTTCAGCATGCCCTCTGTCTAACCACAGCCTTCCACCATGGAGCCTGCCACCCACATATTACTGCAACACGATGCTACCTCCCTAACTGCAGCTTCCCAGTTAGGAACAGGCACAAGAGCCAGGGCCAGGAAAGAGGTACCCAACAGGAGCCTCGGCTCCATGTGTTTGCAGCATGTGTTTACTCCACTACACCATCCTGTGGTGGGCAGGGACTAGACCTGTAACTGTGACCCGCTGTCTCTGCTCTAATCCCCAGATGCCAGGGAGAACGATAATGGCAAACAACTTGGTACTAGCCTTGACACATCCTGTTTTATTTTATAATTTTTATTTTATTGGATTTGTTTCTTATCTATTTTATTTATATTTTAATTAATCATTATTAATCTCTTAGGAGATAATAGGAATTCACTATAACATAGAGCTACCCAAATACCATATTGGGTGTAGTGGGGGGAAGAGGCAGAGAGATGCAGGATATAAGACAAAATCCCAAAGAAGGAGGAGAATCACTAATTAAACAGGGATCAAGCCCAACCCTACCTAGTACAATTCCAGGCAGATAGTGAGATCCCAAGAGGCTCTAATACAGAGAAATACGGTAGTCAATAAAAAATTATGAAGGTGCAATCAGTGTCTTTAAACAGAAGTGTCAAATGATAGGAGGGTACAGCCCTTGGAAAATGTCAGGATCCTATAGATAGTGTGGCCCCAGCTAGGTGCAGACCTAACTGACTAGGTATCCTTCAGCCTCAAGAAACACAGATGCTAATGAAAGCCCACAAATTTAAGAGGTGTGGTTGGGGGATGGGCAACCTGATCCCAAACCAAAATCCCTAGAGATGACACAGGCCAGATACCATGACCATAAAGCCACTTTAAGCAGCACATATAGCTTCCCCAATCCCAAATGTTCATTTATTTCAAATCTCATTCTAGATCAGGAATCTCATGTAATTGGGACAATCCATTGGAGTTACAAGTGATGGGATGTGACATGCAGGATTACAACATCTCAGGGTGTTCTTGGTGAACCAGCATGAACAAGAGCTTTCACTTCATGGCTTACTTTGGATTATAAGATCACCAAATCCAACTCTGCATCTTTTATCCTTTACAGGACTTTCTGTCCATGGGCCATAATAAAGGCCTCATTCTGGGGATCTGTACCTGGCCTAATAAAACATTATCTGAATCTGGAGTGGCTGTGTCTAGACAGCAGTGTAGCGAGGACACAGGTTTATCAAAATGCTCTTTTCTGAGGCACTCCTAAGGCTGTGGTCATACGCACTGAAGCACCATCAGGATGTGTTCATGTGTTGCCTCATCCAGGCCTATTGAAAGGTGTGGGCCATCTTCAACAAAGGTAGAGACATTTTAATAATTTGTTTGTTCTATGAGAGTTTAAAATGTTCTTAAAATTTTTGAAAAATACAAAAACTATAAGACACAAGAGAAAACATCTCTAAAAGACAAATCTGATGAAGGAGTATTATTACCAAAAATATACAAAGAACTCTTAAAATTCAACAATAGGAAAATGAACAGCTGAATTAAAAAATAGGCAAAAGATTATCAAGAGACACATCATCAAAGATGGTATGCAAAGAAGCATACAAAAAGATGCTCAACATTATATGTAACTAGGCAACTGCAAATTGAAACAAGATGCCTATTAAAATGGTTAAAATTCAAAATACTGATAACATCAAATGCTGACAAGGACATGGAGCAACAAGAACTCTCACTCATTGCTGAGAGTGAGAAATGGAAAATGGTACATTCATTCTGGAAGACAGTTTGGCAGTGTCTTATAAAACTAAGCATATTCTAACCATATTATCTAGCAATCATGCTCCCGGGTACTTACTCAAAGGAGCTGAACACTTATGTCCACAACAAAAACCTGCACATGGAGGTTTATAGCAGGTTTATTCATTTTTTTCAGAACTTGGAAGCAACCAAAATGTCCTTCAGTGGGTGAATAAACTGTGATTAATCAAGGAAATAGAGTATTATTCAGTGCTAAAAAGAAATGAGCAATCAAGCCACAAAAGTACATAAAGAAACCTTAAATACATATGATTACATGAAACAAGCCAATCAGAAAAGGTTACATACTACATGATTTCAGCTACATGACATCCTGCAAACTACACAACTTTCGAGAAGGTAAAAATAAGTCAATGGTTGTTAGGGATTTGCAGAGAAGGAAGGATGAATAGGTAGAGCACAGGAGGTTTAAGGCAGGAAAATCATTCTTTATGATACTATAATGGTGGACTGTGTCATTTTAAATTTGTCCAAACCATAGAATTCATGACACAACCAGTTAACCCTAATGTAAACTATGGACTTTGGTTGATAATGATGTGTTAATGTTGGTTCATCGATTTTCACAAAGGTATGGTAATGATGTGAGATGTTGATGGAGAAGACTATATTCACTGGGGGAGGAAGAGAGAATTCCATACTTTTAGCTCAATTTTGCCATGAAGCTAAAAACTGCTCTAGAAAATTGAATCTTTTTTTTTCAAATACAGTAAGGCACAAAGAAGAAAAAAAGAAAATATAATCCTATCCTTCTCACCTTTTTTATGCATTACTAGTTTTTAAACTTGAAAAATATATTGCCATTCCCTAATAAAACATTTCTAAGCTCAAGGACCCTAAGTTTAAAGGGATTCAAAAAGCTAATCTAATATTAGTTATTATTGGTAGTAATACTATTATTGATAGTAGTAAATAATCCAGTTGCTGTTAAATCAAGATTTTATTGACTATACTAACAAAGATCTATAAAATTCCTGGACACTATTGTGAAAAGTAATATCCACCATGGGCATGCTATTTATTGGGATGGATAATACATAATACAGTACACTGAGAGACCTCAAATATCTCCATAATCTTTCAAATGACTTGTACTGATTAGAAGACTGATAAACAGTGGGTCCAAGGACACTAAACTAATAATGGTGAAGGGGTTTTCACTCAGGTCGATAAACACCAAAGCTTAGGTAGGCTGTTAAGGCTGTCACTGCATCTTCTTCATCAGAACCTGACAGAAACAGGTTCTACTATTTGTTGAAGAAAAATTCATTTTTCATGGGTCTTGGGTCTAGATATGAAAGGTGAAATGATGATGGACTACAAGTTATAGTCAAGTAAGAGGATGGCTCTAATCTCTTCTTAACATTTTTTAAAATATTGCTTATTTTTAACCACTTTATTGAAGAATGACATGCAAAAAGCTGTAGATATTTAGTGTATTCAACTTGATGAACTTGGAGCTAAGTATACCCCCATGAAACCATCATCACAATCAATGCCATAAACTTATCCATCACCTCCAAAAACTTCCTCCCACTCCCATTGTTGGTTTTGTTATTTCTTTTGTTGTTGTTGTTTTTCCTTTTGTGCTAAGAATACTTAACACAAGATCTACCCTCTTAGCAAATTTTAAAGTAGGCAACATAGTATCATTAACCAGAGGCCCTATATTGTACAGTACATCTCCAGAATTTATTTGTCTTTCATAACTGAAATTTTCTACCTTTTGACTAACATCTCCTCATTTCCAAAAATAAAATAAGTAAACAAATAAAAATTGCTTAGTTAGTACAGTGATCAACTTTGCCATTAACAAAGAAGAGGAGGAATGGAACCTATCCCCTATCTAAACCACTAATTTTCGGTGCAAAAGTAAGCAGGAATTTGTGTATACCCTTTATGTTCTAGCTCAAAAGCAATTTATTGTTACGTGTGAGCAGAACATTCATTATGTTAATACATTTCCTAATGAGAATGAATTTCCAATTATTTCCTAATGAAAACAAATACAGCCTTTCATTATGTTCTATCTCCCATTTTCCCAAACGTTTTTTTAAAACTTTGTGGTATCTAATTAGCATGCCATATATTTACCTGCTGAAATAATGTAGTTCAATGTTTTTTAGTATATTCATAGACATGTTCAACAATTGCAATTTTGAAACATTTCATCATTCCAAAAGATACCTCTTACTCTTCAGCAGCCTCCCCTCACTTGCCTCAACCCCCTTAGCCCCAGGCAACCACTAATTTATTTTCTGTCTCTACAGATTTCTCTATTCTAGGCATCTCGTATCAATGAAATAATATAAAATGTAGTCTTTTATGACTGGCTAAGTAGGCAACTTGGCATAATGTTTTCAAGGTCCATACTGTAGCATGTAGCAGTACTTCAGTTCTTTTATTGTTGAAAAATATTCCACTGTATGGATATACCCCAATTTGTCTATCCATGACCCATTCGATGGATATTTAAGTTATTTCTACATTTCAACTATTAGAAATGATACTGCTATAAACATTCACCTGCAGGTTTCTGTGTGGACATATGTTCCATTTATCTTGGATATATATCTAGGATTAGAACAGCTGAGTCATACAGTAATTCTACATTTAATTTTAGAGGAATTGCCAGACTGTTTTCCAAAGCAGTTATATCATTTTACATATCTATCAGAAGTGCATGAGAGTTCAGATTTCTTCACTTCCTTGCCAAAACTTGTTATCATCATTTGTGTTACAGCAATCTTATTGAGTGTGAAGCAAAATCTCATTGTGGTTTTGACTGGCATTTCCCTGATGAAAAATATATATTTTATTTCCCTGATGAAAAATATACTTTTTAGATATGTATCTGAAAAGGGTCCAGTATCCAGAATACATAAAGAAAATTTACTAATGAACAATAAAAAGGCAAATAATCCAATTTAAAAATGGGCAAATAGGCCAGGCACAGTGGCTCACGCATGCAATCCCAGCTCTTTGGGAGGCTGAGGTGGGCAGATCGAGGCCAGGAGTTTGAGACTAGCCTGGCAAACATGGTGAAACCCTGTCTCTAATAAAAATACAAAATGTTAGCCAGGCATTGTGGCAGACATCTGTAATCCCAGCTACTCAGGAGGCTGAGGCAAGAGAATTGCTTGAACCTAGGAGGCAGAGGTTGCAGTGAGCCCAGACTGCACCACTGCACTCCAGCCTGGGCAACAGAGTAAGACTCTATCTCAAAAACAACATCGAAAAAAAAAATAAGCAAATAATCTTCATGGGCATTTCTCCAAAGGTGATATGCAAATGACCAATAAGCACATAAACTGATGCTCAACATCATTAGCCATCAGGAAAATACAAATCAAAACCACAATAAATCTGAATCTTGGGTCTAGGGCAGGACAAGTAGGATTTTGAAAAATTAGGCTCAAGAAGTGAAGGGTTTAGATAACACGAGGCTTTGCTAGCCTTCTTATAGATGCCATTTTTCCAAGCTTTTGTGAAAAGAATTATAACCTCATTTCTTACTTAGGATAGAAATGCATAACTGATCCATCATTTCAAAATACTGGAAATCTTCAATAAATTTGAATTATTAAAATATTATGGTATTATTCTTCAAATTTTCAGTTGTCTTTTTAAAAGTTTTCATAGTTAACAACTCCCTGGAGTTTAATCTATTAAATTATTGTTCATATTTTCATATTTTAAATGAATACTTTTATATGTATTTTGGATGAAGAGAACTTTCTTTTGATTATAGTTTTATATATCTATTCTCTTCTATCACCTTAATACATCTTTAGTTTACTGGACTGGTGGGACAACAGGTAGGGAAAAGACAATTAAGCATGCCATTAGTAAGAAATCTGTCATACAGTGGTAGTAACCGACAGAACTGTAAAGTATTTTAAAAATAAAGTCAATTAATCTATCAAAAGTCATCCAAAAGCTCAGTGAATCAAAGGATCTACTTAAACGCACAAAATCTCCTTGAAATTAGCAATTGCAGGGAAAGATAAAACATTCGCAAACCCACTAAGATATGTCATTAGTTAGCCTCTGTTCACCAATGAAAAGCAATTTAAGAACAATCATCTATGATATTGGTAAATAAGCTCCCACTCAAAATTAAGTCAACATCCTTTCCATCATATTCTTTTCATGAGGGCACTGATTTGAGACTACTGTATGGTGAAGTAACAGGAAAAAAAGAAAAACTAAAGAAAATAAGACTGACAGAATGCTATGGTCTTGATTCTACTTCAAGTCCCTTCTAACCCAAAATTCATAATACCCATGTTTGAGTCTCAGTTTGGTATTAACTTATTGCAAGACCTTGGACAACTCAAGTCCATTCCATGTCCTTCAGTATTCTCATATTTTCTGGTTCTTTTCATTTGGATTAAAACCTAGGAACCTTATCATAGCCAACAGTCACTCTTTTCTCAATGGAAGAATATCTCCTAAAGAAAACTTACCTGCTCTGAAACTCCTTCTCCATAGCGAAGCAATGTCACAAAATGCTCACAGTTGTTGACAAATAAGTTATATGCCACCTCCTGTCCAATTACAAACTCTGACCGCTTTATGACTTCCTCCACAGGGAGAGGGAGATACGTTTCATCGTATTTATTGTTTATTCTGTATGTGTCATTTCCCACGACATCCTTCAAGAGCTGCATTTTCACCAAGGCCTTGGTGCTGAATACAGACTTAGCGCTTGTAAATGATGCAGGAATGCCATCTATAAAGGAGAATTCTGGTTAGTAAGGTACAGTGACCAGTCCAATCAACTCTAATGCCATCTAAAGACTTTGAAAATGTTGGCATTTCAACTTTTGTTTTGGATTCAGAGGGTACGTGTGCAAGTTTGTTACATGGGTATATTTTGTGATGCCGAGATTTGGAGATGGATGATCCCATCACCCAAGTAGTGAGCAGAGTACCCAATACATAGCTTTTCAGGTCACACCTTCCTCTCTCCTCCCTCTAATAGTCCCAGTGCCTATTGTTCCCATCTCTATGTCCATGTGTACTCAATGTTCAGCTCCTACTTATAAGTGAGGACATGGGGTATTTGGCTTTCTATTCCTGCATCAATTTCATTAGGATAACAGCCTCCAGCTCTTCCCAAAGGACATGGCTTCCTTTTCATGGCTGCATAGATTCCATGGTGGGTGTGTGTCACATTTTCTTTATCCAATCCACTACTGATAGGCATTCAGACTGACTCCATGTCCTTCCTATGTGAATAGTGCTGCAATGAACATTCTAGTACATGTAGTTTTTGGTAAAATGATTTATTTTCCCTTCGGTATATACCAAGTGATGAGACTGCTCGATCAAATGGCAGTTCTCTTTTAAGCTCTTTGATATATCTCCAATCTGCTTTTGACAGTGGCTGAACTAATTTACATTCCCGCCAACAGTGTATAAACATTCCCTTTTCTCTGCAGCCTCAACAACATCTGTTATTTTTTGACTTTTTAATACTCACCATTCTGACTAATGTGAGATGGTATCTTATTGTGGTTTTGATTTGCATGTCTATGATTAGCATTGTTTCATATATTTATTGGTTGCCTGAATGCCTTCTTTTCGGAAGTGTCTGTTCCTGTCTTGGCCCATTTTTAAATTGGATTGTTTCCATGTTGATTTATTTAAATTTCTTATAAATTCTGGACACTAGACCTTTGTCAGATACATGGTTTATGAATATTTTCACCTATTCTATAGGCTACTTACTCTGTTGATAATTTATTTTGCTGTGGAGAAGCTCTTTTGTTTATTTAGGTCCCACTTGCCAGTTTTTGTTTTTCTTGCAATTCATTTTGGAGACTTAGACACAGATTCTTTGCCAAAGCTGATATCAAGAAGGGTTTTTCCTAAGTTTTCTTCTAGGATTTTTATAGTTTGAGTTCTTCATTTAAACTTTTCATCCATCTTAATTTTTTACACATGGTGAAAGGTAAGGGTCCAGTTTTATTCTTCTGCATATGGCTCACCAGTTATTCCAGCACCATTTATTGAATAGGAAGGCCTTTCCCCATTGCTTATTTTTGTTCAGTTTGTCAAAGGTCAGATGGTTTCAGGTGCTTGAGTTTATTTCTGGGTTCTCTATTCTGTTCCATTGGTCTGTGTGTCTTTTGGTACCAGTACCATGCTGTTTTGGTTGCTATAGCCTTTTAGTAGAGTTTGAAGTTGGGTAACGTGCCTCCAGCTTTTTTTTTTTTTTTTTTTAAGTTTTTGCTATTCAGGTTCTTTCATGGTTCCATATAAACTTTAGAATATTTTTTCTAATTCTGTGAAGAATGGCATTGGTAGTTTGATAGAAATAGTGTTGAAGCTATAGATTGAATTGGGCAATATGAACATTTTAATGATATTATTTCTTCAAATCCATGAACATGGAATGTTTTTCTATTTATTTGCCTCATCTCTGATTTTTTTTAGCAGTGTTTTATAGTTCTCCTTGTAGAGATCTTTTACCTTCCTGGTTAGATATAGTCCTAGGTATTTTATTTATTTGTGGCTATTATAAATGGAATTGTTTTTAATTTGGCTCTCAGCTAGAATGTTATTGTTATATAAAAATGCTACTGATTTTTGTACACTGATTTTGTATCCAGAAACTCTACTGAAGTTGTTTATCAGCTCCAGGAACCTTTTGGTGGAGTTTTTAGGGCTTTCTAGGTACAGAATCATATATTCAGCAAAAGGAGGTAATTTGACTTATTGTTTTCCTATTTGGATGCCTTTTATTTCTTTCTCTTGCCTCATTGCTCTGGCTAGCACTTCCAGTACTATGTTGAACAGGGATACTGAAAGTGAACGTCCTTGTCTTGTTTCAGTTTCAAAGGGGAATGGCCCATTCAGTATGATGTTGGCTGTGGTTGTCTCATGATTCATTATTTTGAGGTATGTTCCAACCCTCTGTTCAGGGTTTTTATCATAAAGCGATATTGTATTTCATCAAAGGCTTTTTCTGAGTCTATTGAGATGATCATATGGTTGTTGGTTTTCACTCAGTTCACATGGTGAATTGTATTTATTGATTTGTGCATGTTGAACTAATCTTGTATCCCAGGAATAAAGTCTACTTGATTATGAATTAACTTTTTGATGTGCTGCTAAATTTTGTTTGCTAGTTTTTTGTTGAGGATTTTTAGATGTATGTTCATCAGGAATTCTGGCCTGAAGTTTTCTTTTTTGTGTGTCTCTGTCTGATTTTTGTATCAGGATGATGCTGGCTTCATAGAATGAGTTCGAAAGGAGCCCCCACCTCCTTGAGTTTTTGGAATAGTTTCAGTAGGATTGGTACCAGTTCTCTGTACACCTTGTAGAATTGGCTGTGAATCCATCTGCTCCAGGGCTTTTGTCAGTTGGTAGGTTTTTATTATTATTATTACTGATTCAATTTTGGAACTTGTTATTGCTCTGTTCAGGTTTTTTCTTTCTTCCTGGCTCAATGTTGAAAGGTTGTGTGTTTCAGAAATTTGTCCATTTCCTCTAAATTTTCTAATTTTTGTGCATAGAGGTATTCACAATAGTCTCTAGGTACCCTTTGCATTTCTGTAGAACTGGTTATAATGTTATCTTTGTCATTTTTTTTATTGCACTTATTTGGATATTTTTTGTTATCGATAGCAGTCAATCGTTTATCCTTTCAAAAAACAAATTCTTTGTTTCGTTAATCTTTTGTGTGGATTTTTGTATCTCAATTTCTTTCAGTTTTTCTCCAGTTTTAGATTTCTTTTGTCCTGCTAGCTTTGGGATTGGTCTGTTCTTTTTTTTTTTTTTCCTAGTTCCACTATGTGCAATGTTAGGTTGCTAAATTGAGACCCTTCTAACTTCTTAATGACAGTGTTTAGTGCTATAAACTTTCCTCTTAGCATTGATTTAGCTGTATCCCAAAGATTTTGGTAAGTTATATGTCTATTTTCATTAATTTCAAAGAACTTTTTGATTTCTGCCTTGATTTCATTTTCCACCTGTATTCTTCAGAGTTCCCTAGAGGGACAAGGCTAATAGGATAGATGTATATATAAAAGGGAGTTATTAAGGAGTATTGACTCACAAATCACAAAGTGAAGTCCCATAATAGGCCATCTGCAAGTGGAGGAGCAAGGAAGCCAGTCCAAGTCCTAAAACCTCAAAAGTAGGTAAGCCAACAGTGTAGCCGTTAGTCTGTGGCCAAAGGCCCGAGAGCCACTGGCAAACCACAGTTGTAGGTCCAAGAGTCCAAAAGCTGAAGAACTTGGAGTCCCATGTTCAAGGGCAGGAAGCGTCCAGCACAGAAGAAAGATGGAGGCCAGAATACTTAGTGTAATCCTTCCATGTTCCTCTGCCTGCTTTTATCCTCGCCTCACTTGCAGCTGATAAGATGTTGCCCACTCAGATTGAGAGTGGGTCTGCCTCTCCTAGTCCACTGACTCAAATGTTAATCTCCTTTGGCAACACCCTCACACACACACCTAGGAAGAATACTTTGTATCCTTTAATTCAATCACATTAACAATCAATATTAAGTATCATACATCGATATTCAGGACCACACTGTTTAATTTCCACATTTTTGTATAGTTTTGAGAAATCTTCTTTGTATTCATTTCTATTTTTATTATACTGTGGTTCAAGAGGGTGCTTAGTATGATTTCAGCTTTTTTTTAAAATTTATTGAGACTTGCTTTATGATTAAGCATGTGGTTAATCTTTTTTAAATAAATATTATATTAAGATCAACCTCCCTGCAATAAAACATGTCCAGATGTAAGACTTTTAATGGCTGTTACAGATGCTGTTATGTTTATCTATCCAACACCAAATCCACCATTGCCTATTTCTTCCTGGAAAAAACTCTGTCTGGGCCAGTCACAGAATTTCATTCTCTTGGGCACAGTGATAGTCTAGCAATGAACACAGGACTCATACTGGAGCCATTAGAGTCTGTCTCCATGATTCTTTAACTGTAACAGGTAGTTACAGTTAGCTCTTTCGTATTGGTTCTAAATAACCTATGAGACAGAACCTAAAGCTGCTTATGTCATCAGTTCAGTTTTTTAAAGAGACATAGTCTGGGAAAATGAAGACAGCATATAGACAGAAATACAGATGTGTGACAGGGAGTCTAAATAGTGGTTAAAACCCTAGACATAGGCATCTCTGAGGCCAGCACCACCTCTATTCTCACTGCAGTTTCCCTCAGTGAAGCAATGAAGATTCCTCAGTAAAGAATACTAGATAATATTATAATTAATAATACTATACAATATTTATATTATGTGGCTAAATCATAATTTAACTTTCTCCTATTGAACATATGCCATTAGCTCCTTTTTAAACCATTACAAATGACACAGAAGTGAATATCCTTATACAGCAATGTTTGTGTACGTCTCTAAATATTTCCCCAGAATAGATTCCGAGAAGTACAATTACAGGGTCAGAGAACATGAACCCCTTTGAAAACTTTCAACACATCCTGTTATACTGTTTTTGTGCAAAACATTCTCAATATATATTAACATCAACAATACATTTATGTTCATTTCACTATATTCTTAACACTGATTGTTACCACTGTTTAACCTTTGCTCATGAGACAGGCATGAAATCTTTCATTGGTTTATTTCACAATTCCTAGGCCAGAAAGTTGAAATTTTTTCAAAAGGTGTATTAGCTTTTGGTTTTCTTCTTTTACAAATTGTTCATAATTCTTTATCCATTTGTTTGTTAAGGTTTTAGTGTTTGCTGCCCCTTGACCTGGGATAATATTTTTCCAGAAAGCATTTGACTGGTTTCTTTACCTCTTTTAAGTTTTTCCTCAAATGCCACTTTCTTATGAAATTTTCCTGACCACTTCACTTAACATAGCACCTCCACCCACCACCACCTGCCATCAGCACTTGTCATCCTACCTTCTTATTTTTTCTGTATCATTTATCACAATTTTAACATTTCTGTAACTTGCTCATGGTCCGTCCCTCCTTACTAAAATGTAAACTCCACCACACAGGGAGATGCCTGTCTCCCCCAGCACTTAGAGTAGCATTCAGAACATACTAGGTAATCTAGAAATAGGTGTTGAATGAATCAAAATAACCTATTTGTGCAATACATAAAGACATTTAAATATTTTCTCCAGCTGGTTATTTACTTTTTAATTGTGATTTTTTTAAATCAGAGGTTTTAAAATTTAATGTGAATTGGCCTTTGTGATTTCTTCAATGCTGCTTTGGTTTTAGAATATCCTTCTCTAAACCTAGATTAATTGGATTTATTTGCTTTCTATATTTTATTTCAATTTTGTCTTATTATTTCACCCATGATTCCTTCCTGTAACAAGAACACTAAATATTTGCTCCCAGGAGCCACTGGAAATAAACCTCACCTACAGGAGCTAGGTTGATAACATAACCATCACCCAAGTACAGTGCCCAGTGCTGATAGCCAGGACGGAACACTTCGATCAAGTCTCCTGGGTGGGGGTTGCCAGGGTAGGTCAAACTGAAACAATCATTAAACGCCATCTGCAATGACAAACACAAAGAAGATCTAGCTGATACAACTTGCCAAAAGAAAATCAGTTTAAGACATTCATAAAAGCAGAATGATACCGAATTTCTTGAGACTACATTCCAAAATATTAAAGACTTAGAGTCATGATCCTGTCCTTTTCTTTTAATGATTCCAATAATGAATGATGTGTGCACAAGGGGACAAGAAGAGAAATAATTTGTCTTGTATTACTTAATTTTCTATAGTAATGCTCCTTGTTCTGATCAATTTCAGAGCCCCTTTATAATAACAAGCATTCTATAATTTTCTCTTTAAATCTAGAAAAGCATGGATAATATAACTTTCTCAGAATTTTAAAATATCAAGGATTAAATATTAAAATATGCCCTATGTAGGATAATAAGGAGAAATAGGAAAGTAAATTTATAATATCTGTTTACTAAGTAAATGCTCAGTCCATGACTATACTAAAAGATACAAAAAAGTGTTTATATGCTTGGACTTACTTAGCATAAAACAGTCAGAATTTAGGATTAATAAAATCAGATCAGAAGTCTTTCAGCCTTTTATATAGTAGCATAGTAAAATCAAGGAGGAGAGGTATAGGTGGATGCTAATATTTAATATTCTGTGAATACTAAAGCTCTGCAAAAATACCACGTATTACAAAACCTACTCTTTCATTTCATTTAAGCAGAGTTGGGTTCCAGGCTCAGATGGTTGTCCAGCCAGATGTTCAAATTAATGTATGACATGGAATATTTCTTTCTTGTTTAAAACTTTACTGTGTGGTGTAGCAGGTACAGGTACTCTGGCTTGCACCTGCTAAGTATCAGTAAATATCCTTTGTCATTATAACAATCATAAATGCCACCACAGATTTTCATGCCTCTCCTTTCTGCCCCACTTATTGTCAGATTCCTCACTTACTAATTCCAGAAGCCATGCTAGGTAGTCAACAGCAGAAGCAAGACAACTTGGAAGGCTGGCGAGTTAATCACATTGATGAACATGTTTGAAAATTCTAAGTTTGGTAAGTTTTTTTTAAGTTAACACTTTGAGAAAGAACATATAAGTAACTGACAGTTGATTCTTATGGAAGGTTACATTTTATATGTATGGTATAGAAGCAGAATGACTCAGCAGGAGGAGATTATGTACATCTATCAGCTGTAGGAGAATTTAACTGCTGTGTCTATGTTGAATCTCTAATTGACAACACGGTGTTCCTCATCATTTCACTCTAATGCAGCTATATATGCTCATTGACAAAATAAATCCAAGTGCCAGAAATAAAAACTTCCAAATCATCTAAATTATAATTATAATAGCAGAGACTAAGGACTTGGGAATACAGATTATCAGTTTTCTGGCAATCTAAAAGTCTTTTTTATAACAATTAATATTAGAAGGGTGTTTTCCCAAGTATTTGTATGCCATCTGTTGAAAACTTCAATCATCACACTGTCACAGAAATGCGGCCAAATGTAAGCTGTCCATCTGTTGAAAAATAACTATTAAAACAACTTTATGGAAACCATTAAGTCTAACCACCCTCTCAAATATGTTTGTGTATTATTAATATGGCAGTTTGCAATTTGGCCACATGGGTATTAAAAGGAAAAATAGATAATACACTGTGATATAAACAAACACATTTCCCATGAATAGGAATCAGCAAGCACACAAAGCTGCCTGCTAGGATTCCCAGATGCAGCCAAAGTGTATAATAATAACCACCATTTGAACAGGGGGCACTTTCTAGTGAAATTTTTTTCAAATGCACTAGCTCAACCCTATTTAATTGAAACACACACACACACACACACACACACACACACTATTTGAGTGTGTTACGTTATTATCCCACTTTACAGACAAAGAGCTAAAGTAGCAAATACCAACTTTTTGAAAATACCAACTGAAACCCTAATATATAAACTATGAAGGAAAACAACTGGACTAGGTATTAATGATGTGAGCTCTTCTCTTTGTTGTCTACTTGATACTTGTTAGTTCTGTAGCTTTGGGCAGGTCACTGGAACTGAGTCTGTTTCCTCATTTTGAAAATAGGTATGATCATTTAAGCACAATTTTGTTTAATCTCAAAAAGCTGTTGCAAGTAAACCCTAGGGAGCTGGTAAAAAGCTGCTGCAAGTAACCCTTTGGGAGCTGGTAAAATACTGTTGCAAATGCTCTGTGAATTGGCAAGAGCTAGACAGGTGGATGATAAGAGAGAGACTGAGATTGGTACATGGTTTATGTAGGATTTTAGCTCCTTATGCTCTCTTCCAGGCATCATAATTCTGTGAAATAAATGATTCGACTGTAAAATTCTAATATATTTAACAAATTTTCAGTTTCTGACATATAAATTGATTCATAAACTGTTAATTGATTTCATAAATTCTATCATATTTATAAAGAGAAATATGATTTCACATGAGTAACCCCTCAATAAACTAACAAAGGAGACTGAAAGCTAATATGCAAGTTGAAAAGTGAGCTATGATCCTGAACACTTAGAATCATAGTAATGGACTACAGGAAGGTACTTCAGATATGATCTAATCTAAGGGTCTCCAAACTTGTTTATAGGAGTGGGTACCATGTCAAAACACATATCAGATAGAACCATAAAAATATAAAACATAAAAAACAGCACTTCCCTGGATGAAGTCAGGGACAGCATGAGAGCTCTACTCACTCCTCACCCACATTGCTGCTCTTAATGAGGCTTCCTGGGACCCCAGAACTTCTAGGAATGCAGCTTAAATGATACCCATCTAATCCTAGTTCAATCTCCTCATTTTTTAGACAAAGGAAACAAAACCAGGTAGGTAGTTTAACTAGTCAAGGTCATCCACTATTATATAAAAGATTTTTAACAATTGGTGCTGAAACTATTGGACATCCATAGGCAAACAAACAAACCAACCTTGATCTAAATTTCATACCTTATTTCAAAATGGATAACAGACTGAAATGTAAAAGTAAAGGTATAAAATGTAGAGAAAAACATAGGAGAAAAATTCTTAGGGTCTAGGGTAAACAAAGAGTTCTCAGACTTGATACCAAAAGTATGATCCTTACCAGGAAAAATTGGTAAATGGATAGTCCTTAAGATTAAAAACGTTTACACTACAAAAGATCCTGTTGAGATGAAAAGACAGACTACAGAGTGGGAGAAAATATTTGCAAACCACATATCTGTGAAAGAACTAGTAACTAGAACACATAAAGGACTCCCCAAACTCAACAATAAAAAAGCAAACAATACAATTAGAATGTAGGTTTTATAGTTTGGATATTTATTACTGCCAAATCTCATGTTGAAATGTAATCCCCAGCATTGGAGGTGGGGTCTGGTGGGAGGTAGTTGGATCATGGGAGTGAATCCGTCATGAATGGCTAGTGCCAACCCCTTGGTGATGAGTGAGATCACCGGAGATCTGCTTGTTTAACAGTGTGGTGCCTCTCATCACCCCTTGCTCCCATTCTCACCATAAGTACACCTGGTCCCCCATTGCCTTCCACCATGATTGTAAGCTTCATGAAGCCCTCACTAGAAGCAGATACCAGCACCATACTTCCTGTACACCCTATGGAGCATGAGCCAATTAAATCTCTTTTCTTTATAAATTACCATCTCAAATATTCCTTTATAGTAATGCAAACCCTAATAAATATAGTAGGCAAAAGAATGAGGACCCATTTCACCAAAGAAGATACACAGATGTCAAGGAAAACACTAGTCATTAGGAAAATGCAAATTATATCTGCAATAAAGAAATCTCAGCAAAATGGTGTCATAGGAAGCTATCCTTTCTCCCACAAACCCACTAAGGAAACACCTACACACAGATCAATTCTTTCCAAAAGAAAGGCAGAATCCAGCTGAAAGACTCCTACACCCTAGACAATGAAGAAAATATCCACATCAAAATTGGTAGGAAAAGTAAAGCTACACTCATGCACAAACCCACCCCGTGCACAGAGTCTTATAATCAGGAAGGAAACCCCAACTCCTAGCATGATCCCAAGGAATGAGGGGCTTGTGCCAAACACCAAATGTCCAGCTTTTACCATCACTTTCAAAGGGCTTGGCTCTTAAATCACTGTGTCTGAGAAATCATAGGGACAAGGCATTGGAGGATTTCCTTCAAACACAAAAAACAAAGGGAGGTTTTAAACCTTGCAAGCTCTGTCAGCTGCTATAATGCCCAGGATCAGCCCAGCTTCCAGTCTCTCCCTGGAAAGGATTTGGCTGAATCCTTTTCCACTAGTTCAACGTGGTTCTGGTCTCTGATACGCCAGCTTCCAGGAGCCTATATAGCAAATAAAGAATAAACCTCTTCAAGCCTAAACAAGGACAACATTCCCACCTTCTTCCTTAGTTTGTTCTAGTGACAATTCCAGCCATACAATTTCTCAAAGGAAAGAGGTTGGAGGCCTCTTCCAGCAAGAACAGGAAAGATGGTACCACCCTTCCATCATGCTTTCTTGCCTGGTTTGCTCCTGAGATAAATTCCTGCAATCTCTCATGAGAGTGAAGCTGTTGGGGAGGATCTCTCCATGCCTGAGAAGCAAAAAGGGCATTCCTGGATCTTTTTTTCCTGGCTTGCTTCTGTTCCAGACTAGAAGAGTCCCCTTGCAAGAAAGATCTGAGACTTCTTGCTTGAACAGGAAATAGGCACTCGTCCATTTTCCCCTACTTGCTCCAATAACAATCCCAGCCCAGTGATTTCTCTGTTGAAAGAAACTGGAGACCTCTGCTACCAAGAATCGGAAGGATGGCATTCCCACACCTTTTCCCCTGGCTTGCTCTAGAAATAAACTCCTTTAAACTCCAGTTGGAAAAAGGCGAGGGGGCGGGGATTTCTTCATGTATAAAAGATAAAGTGGGCACTCTCTGCCCCTTCCTTTATGGCTTCCTGTAGTAATAACTCTAGACCAGAAGTTTCTCCCTGACAGGAGGGTGTGAGATTTCTGCTTGTTCAAAATGGAGAGT